CTCCTGCCCCTCTCCAGTGGGCATCTCCCCCAGGACACCTAGAAAGACCCCTCAGGGTCTCCCTGACTTCCTGGCAGGGCTCACAGGCCACCCTCTGGGTTTTCCAGGCTCCACAAACTGCTTTGTTGTCAGTCTTTATAACTGGCCTTCAGATGACCACTGGCCCGAATGTCTCTGTGACCAGCCTCTGGGCCCCCAAGGCCCAGTGCCAGGCCTATGCCAGGAGTGTAGCACACACTCACAAGGCACTGAATGACAAGACTGGGGCCGAGGTCTCCCGGGAAGGAAACAGCAGATGACACCCGCTCAGGCTCTGTGAGGAAGAACCAGGCACAGGCAGCACGGGGTGGGTCCAGTCTCTCCTGCCGGGTGGCCTGAGACCGTCCCCCAGGGCTTGTGAACCTGGAGGGTACTAGGAGCCTGAAGGGGGCAGAGGAGGCTAGGTATTGCCCTGGGTTGCCTGGGCACAGCTTCAGAGAGGAGGTTTGTGTGGTTGGGGCCATGGACGGGAACAAGCAGAGACCCTGACTTCTGACCCTTGACCTCACTCCCCACAGTAGCTCCCAGGGCCTTGCCCTCTGGTCCTCCTGAGTCCACCCTGCTCACTTTCCTCCCACACCTCGTGTCTTTCATGGCTGGGTTGCTTGATTTCCACTTGACCTAAAGTCTTCGTAGAGTGAACGCGCAGACACCTGCTTTTCTCCCTGGAGGGACTGCTCCTGTCGCCTGGCCCTGCTGTAACAGAAAGTCACCTTCTGGGGAGCTTCACAACAGAAATGTAGCTTCTCAGTCTGGAGGCCAGGAGTGTGGGATCCACGTGTGGTCCCAGCCGCGCTCCCGCCATGGCTCCAGGGGAGGGTCCCTCCTTGCCTCTCCCAGCTTCTACAACCCCCACGTCCCTCAGCTCGGGGCTGCATGGCTGTCACCTCTGCCTCCCTCTCACATGGCCTTCTTCCCTCTGAATGCCCCCTCTCCTTACAAGGACAGTCAGTGCACCGCAGCCCCCCAAGACCTCGTCTCTGCCTGACGACCCAGCAAAGGCTATTTCCAAGCACGGTCACGTCCCCAGGTACTGGGCGGGCAGGACTTCGAGTTCTTTCTTCGGGGACACAATTCAGCCTCTAACAGTGAACTTTCTTTGTAGAAGCCCAGTTTTTCCACCTTTGAGGACAAACTCCAGAGAAAGTAAGCCTGGTGCGGGAAGAACGAGGCATTATGGACAAGGTTGAGGCAGCTCTGGGTCAGAGGCGGAGGCCAAGGTAGAAATGCAGGCCCTCGAAGCCAGGCCCCAGGCCCCTGGTGAGCCCCTGGGCTCACCCCGCCTCTGAGCACCACCAGGGCCGTCTCCCTCCCTCAGAGCTGGCTTCTGACCCTGCCCCTGCAACAGGGCTGCTCCGTCCTCAGAGCCTTTCCTGGCTCCCTCTGAGGTCTCCCATGGCTCCCATGCACATTCACACTGGGCATGCTCTGGACTTCCCACCAACCTTCCCTTCCTCTCAGGCTGCTTCCCAGGGCTGGTTGTTAAGAGGTCACATTTAATTGCCTTGTTGCAGAAATGTCAAATGTATCACACAGTCCAGCACACACGCAACCCCCATCCATCCCGCACACCTGGCTAAGGCTCTCATATCCCTCCCTCTATTACTGCCTAGTCTTGCTCCTTCCCAGCTCCTGGGAGGCTGGCACCCGTTCCACCACCCCGCAGGGAACTCTGTTGACTGGACTAGAAGCTGAGTATTCCCTTTTTTTCCTACGTATTCATCTAACCCTCTACTAGGACTGCATGTCTGTCCCCCCAAAATTTATGTTAAAGCCCCAGCCCCCAAGGAGTGGTATTTGGAATGGGGTCTTTGGAAGGTAGTTCAGCTTGGATTGAAACTTCGAGGGTGGCCTCATAATGAGATTAGTGTCTTTATAAGGAAAAGAGGCCAGAGCCCAGACTCCTCCTCTTCCTCTTTTTCTCCCTCTACCAGCCACACACAGAGAGAAGGTGCCGTTTATGAGCCAACAAGCAAGCCCTCACCCAACGCCAGGCCTGCCAGCACCTTTGTCTTAGACTTCCAGACTCCAGAGCTAGAATAACGTCTGCTGCTTAAGCCACCCAGTCTGTGATATTTTGTTATGCAGTTCAGCTGACGAATATACCCTCAAGTGGGAATGAAGCCCCACTGGCTAGGTCACGTATTTCTGCAACAGAGGGAATATGTGGAATGTCTGAACAACCAGGCCAGAATTCCTCTGAAATACAGCTTGTCTGGAATCAACTTTGATCAATCTCTGGTTGAATAAGGGAGACCTCAACACCTGGGTATCCACCGATCCTGGGCTGCAGGAACAGAGCATTCAGCTCTGATGTAAGGACAGCTATTACCTCCCCACTACAGATGAAGAAACTGAGGCTCAGAGAAGTTTAGACCAGGTCTGAAAATAACGTCCAGTCCTGGTCAGGCGTGATGGCTCATGCCTGTAATCCCAGCATTTTGGGAGGCTGAGGCAGGCGGATCGCCTGAGGTCAGGAATTCAAGAATAGCCTGGTCAACATGGCAAAACCCCACCCCTACTAAATATACAAAAGTTAGCTGCGCGTGGTGGTGGGTGCCGGTAATCCCTGCTACTCAGGAGACTGAGACAGGAGAATTGCTTGAATCCGGAAGACGAGGTTGCAGTGAGCTGAGATTGCGCCATTGCACTCCAGCCTGGGCGACAGAGCGAGACACTGTGTCAAAAAAAAAAAAAAAGTTCGGTTCTTTCCTAAGCAAAACGTTGTAACAAAGACAAATCTGTTGATGAGGAAACTGAAGAAAGGCGAAGTTCCTGCAGTCTGAAGTCTGTTGGAAACTATTTAGATTCATTTACTTCCTTTAGCTTGGGTAATTTGGAGTTTAACTCAACAAACATTTATTGAGTGTATTTCATGAATAAAACATTTTGCTATTTGCTGCCCTATGAGACGCTGGATAGGTCAAACCTTCTGCTCCCTGGTACCTTGTGAAAGATGGGGGTAACTGCAATGTGATTTTCTTAGAAACGTCAAAGACACAAAGAGGCTTTGATGTGTCACTTGTCAAAAGATGCCTTCCCATTTTATTCAGCACAACGAATCTCCGTACTTTGCTGAGGGCTGCACGGACATCTTCATGTGAAAGTTTGTCTCTCCATGGTGAAATGCCAACCTCTGTTTCTTCCATCCACTGTCCTCCACCTGGGGTCCTTTTGCTAACCAGGAGGGCAGGAAAGCCCCGGAGACAGGACCTATTGATCCAAACGTGGATCCATTGTTTCATTAAATACTATTAGCCATGTATGTTTTCTTTGAAGACTCCATGAATTTTTAAAACTGCCGGGCTGCCCATCTGCGTGGACACTCTATCCCAACAAAATATGCACGGTGCAATTTTATAACTACTTTAAAAAGACCTTTAACTGGAACGTGTGGAGCCTGCCGTTTGCAGGGCTGTTGGCATATGTAATGTTTCAGGAAACCGCTGAAACCCCAGCAGAAGGAGAGAAGAACAGAAAGCCGCCTGCTGCTGCTGTCACTGTGGTCTGAGGGACGCTCCGGAGCCCAGAGCCCGGCTGCAGGGACATCTGCTGGCAGGAAGGTGGCCCGCCCTGTGGAGTCACGGAGATAAAGCCAAGGGATATTTTGGGGAAGAAAAGCTGTTTCTGATGTTAAAACAGGTATCCAAAATAGGACCCAGTGTTCCAGCTTCCTGGCCTGGGCTTTAGTGACTTGAGCTGGGACCGGGGTGCACCTGCGTTCACTGTCACCACCCGTGCTCCTAGGGCAGCTGTTCAGCCTCCCACACCCACTCGCTCATCCTTGACTTAAAGTGACGTTGTGGGGCAGAAAAATCGGAGAAGCACACTTTATCTCTGGCACCCTTTTCCCCGCCCCTTCTCACCTTAGGCCTCAAATTCCCAGAACCCTCCTGCCCTCTCCACTTGAAAATCTCTCCTGAGGAAAGGCCCACACGATGATACTTTTGTGTCATCGTCTAAATATTTCTCTTCATTTACCACCATTTGAACACAGCTGCTAATCTTCCACGTCTTCTGGGGATGGTTTTAGGCCGCAACCCCGACCCCACGCTGAAGCCGCCTCCCAGCGCGGGCCAGGGCAGCGCTCAGCCCTCTCCCTCACCTCCTGACAAACTGCGTGGGTCCCAGGCTGCCTCCGGAAGGCCCGGGTCCATATCCCTGACTGGGGGTGCAGGTCAGGAGGAACGCGGGGGCTCATTCAGGGACTCCCCCACCTCCTCCTCTTCCACCATCAGGAGACCGAGAATCCAGGGAAAGATCTCTCTGACCACTAGATCTGTGTGCAGGTGAGTCACGGCCCAACAGCAGGCTTTTTCTGTTTAACAGGAGAGTGACGAAGACCATGACGCCTCCGCTCCGCGGGATCAGGCGGCTTCCTCGCACCTGGCGCGTTTGGCTCTCTTTTCCACGCGGACTTCCTGCGCCCCTTCTGCAGGCCTGAAGGTGCGCTCCCAGCGCCCAGCGGAGCACCTGCCGGCCGCACGCGGGCCTGGGCGGGGTTGCAGGGGAGGGAGGCCGCGCCTGGGAGGACCTGCCCGCTCCTCCCGCCTCCAGGGCGGGCTGACCCTCCTCCGGCAGGCTCGGGGCCGCGCCAAGTCCTTCAGCAGCTTCTGGGGTTTCCAGCCCGTGAGGACACGGGGAGATGCGGCCTCGCGCGCCTCCCCCGAGGTCGAGATCGGGTTGGGGGTGAGTTCGGAGGCCGAGCCACGGGGGAAGGGTCTCGGGCGAGGCTCCAGGCCGCCCCTTCTCCAAGGCCCGACCCTGCGCGTGGATCCCGTGCGCCCCCGGAACTCCGCTAGGGCAAAGCGGGCCCGGGGGTCCTCGGAGCTCCCGGGGCGGCCGCGTCAGGTGGGGCGGGCCCGGCGGGCTGGGCCTGTGTTTACCTGGCGCGCAGGAAGCCCGAGGAGGCGGGGCTGGGAGCGGGGTGCGCGCCCGTCCCTCGGAGCCGCCTTCAGTCTCTGCCGCCGCGCGCCCGCGAGAAGCAGCCTCCCACCCCGGCGGCCTCGGGCTCCCGACACCGGAAGGCGGTGCAGGCTGCCCCGGGACCCCGCGAGCCGGCGCTTGAAGCCGGGAACTGCCCGCCCGGGCCTGGGACCCCGTGGCACCCCTCGGCCTCGGAGCAGCGAGCGCAGCGCCGGTGAGTGACCCTCGGGGGCGGGTGGGGGGCGGCTCTGGCGCCTTTGTCTCCGCGCCCCTCCAAGCCGGGACTGCGGAGACCTGGGCGGGACCCCGGGGCCGAGCCCCGCGGGAGCCGTGAACTGAGGGTCGGGAACAGGAGCTGTCCCGGCGCCCGGACTCCGAGTCCCTTTCTCGGCCGAGAACGCGCAGGGGGAACCTGGGCAGCAGCGCAGGTGGCCGGGCAGGTGGCAGCCGGGGGCCCCTGACCCGAACCTACGGCCCTGTCACCGTCCCCGATCTCTACTGCGAGGGGGTGGGCGCAGGCGTAGACTCGGGTTTACTGCGCCGGGGCCGGCCTCTGACAGGTGTCCAGGGTGGTCTCCAGCCAGGCCCGGCGTCCCGGGGTCACAGAAACCGCTCGGCCTTGGGCCCCGGGACTGAGGGGAGGAGTCTAGGGTGGGAGGGACGGCGGACAGAAGCGGCCAGTCAGGGCGGGTCAGAAGAGGGTGCCGGCGGCGAGGGCGCGCTGGGGGGGTCCTCCCCGGACCTGCCAATCACGTCCCGAGGGCCCCGCGCGCGTTCACTCCCCTGCCGCTCCCCCCGAGGTGAAGTGCAGTTTTCCTCTGAACTCCGAGGGCAGCGAGAGTCTGGGTCCGGGCTTCCGCCTTCTCAGGGCCTGTCTCGGGCTCCTCGGCCGACCAGTCGCTGCGCCCACCTGGGCCCACGTGCGCGCCCGCAGCTGCCCGCCCTCCCTCGCGACGCTGAGCGCCTGGCCCCCGGGGCCCGAGTCTCCCCGGCTGCCCCTCCCGGGCGGGACGGTCTGTTCTGGGGTCGTGGGCTGCGGGGTGCCCCCGAGGCTGGCGTGTGTGACCCGCGCGCGGTCATTTGCCGCCACCCTAGGTCTTCCCGGGCGCCCGGGGCAGCGTCTGTGCCCTTTCGCGTCCACCTGAACCCCCTGTTTCGGGAGGTGGAGTGGCGCTCGGGAAGGGGTTCGAGTGTCTTTAGGGATCTCCATGCGACTCTGCCTGGAAACAGGCGCGTTCTGGTTCCTGGTTCCGTTTTCCGATTGCAACAACGTGAGAGTCAACAAGTGCTCGGCTGCTCTGCGGGTGGGTGAGGGGCGCGTGGCTCGCCCGGCTTTGGGAGGGCGTGGACTTCGTTCCAGGGAGGTCTCTGCCTCATCTTGACCACAGAACGTCCCGCCTGGAAAGAGAGCTTTGCAGAGGAAGGAAAGGTCAGGGAACAGCCAGTGTGTGTTTTGGACACTTTATCTGGCGAAGCTCCGGGGGACGAGTTAAGGAGCGTCACGCTCAAGTCAGGGACCACACCGATGGAGCAGGGTCCTGCACTGAGCTCCCTGGCGGCCACCTCCAGCGATGGGCGCCTCCTTAGCGGTTGGGATCCCGGGCTGTGGATACGGCCGAGAGCCTGGAACCCAGCTGCCCTTCAGTAGAGGAAGGAAGGCCATGACCTGAAACCAGGCCGGCAGCCAGGGAGGGGATGCTCCCACCAGCCAAGGCAAAGGGCACTGCGCCAGAGGATTTTTTTTTTTTTTCAAGTGGGATAAGCAGAAACCTGAGGGAAAAGAATCCAGTTAAAAATGGTTGTAAACGCTGGAATAACTCTCAGGGAGTTAACTGTTCTGAAACAACCACCTCTGTTAACTCCGGGTTAAACAAAGCCATTCTGTTCTAATCTTTGAAAACTCTCCAGAAGTATCACAGTTCTGCCCAGAGATAAGGAAGTGTGACATGCGTCACTTGATTTAGATCTGGTATCTCACGGCTCCAGCATGATTTGAAACATCCGCTTTGAGTGTGGTCAGTCCCGGTCCCGGCTGCGGGCACTGATGACAGGTAGCCACCAAACGCTGGGGGAAAAAGAGAGCAGCCTTTCTTGTGATGTTTCTATTTCTGCCTGAACTTGTAAATGTTAATTGTAAGTTATTTTGTTTGAATTTTACCCCCAAGTTCTTTAAAAATATGACGTGCTGTACTAAAAATACAAAAATTATCTGGGCGTGGTGGCAGGTGCCTTAATCCCAGCTACTTGGGAGGCTGAGGCAGGAGAATCTCTCGAACTTGGGATGTGGAGGCTGCAGTGAGCCGATACCATGACATTGCACTCCAGCCTGTGCAAACAAGAGCAAAACTCTGTCTCAAAAAAAAAAAAAAAAATGACATGCTTAAGATTAGCAGCTGCCTCTGTGCCGTTTCTGTCCCAGGGAGTGTTTGTTTATCGAGCACTTGCACATTGCCAGGCTCTCTTCTGAGGGCTGTTTGTCACCTCAGTTAACAGTTGTGATGGCCCTAAATGCCCTCATTAAAGGTTGCCATGCTTTTCATATCTTCATTTTGACTGATGAAGAAACAAGGCCCAGAGAGGTTAAGTTACTCTAAGGGCACCCAGGAAGAGGCAGGATTCTGTCCAGGGAGTCTGCCCCGGCGCCTCACTGCTGCTCTGCCCCGCTGTGGTGAACAGGATGCCTTGCAAAGGTGCTCCTCATTCCCCCTTTTAAACTTCCACCCCTAGTGATGAGTGGCATGCACCCAGAGATGTTTCCTTTCAAGAATGATTTGACCAAAAGGCACCTGTCATCCGTCTTTGTTCATCATCCTCTCTTTAGCTTTCTTAGTTGCCAGTAAAAAAGAAAATATTCTAATTACTAATCATTTTTTTTTTTTTTTTTTGGACAGAGTCTTGCTCTGTCGCCCAGGCTGGAGTGCGGTGGTGCAGTCTCAGCTCACTGCAACCTCCACCTCCCAGGTCCAGGTGATTTTCCTGCCTCAGCCTCCTGAGGAGCTGGGACAGGTGTGCACCACCACATCTGGCTAATTTTTTTATTTTTTGTTGTCTGTTTGTTTAGTAGAGACAGGGTCTCACCATGTTGGCCAGGCTTGTCTCAAACTCCTGACCTCAAGTGATCTGCCCACCTTGACCTCCCAGAGTGCTGGGATTACAGGCGTGAGCCACCGCGCCAGCCTCTAATTACTCTTGGGATAATTTTAAATAAATGGCCACTAAGCAGGAAGACACTTGGTTGACCCATTGGAGCCCCTGAAGGAAGCTCCGGAGCTCTGTAAGGGAAGAGTGCTCACGCCACAGGCCCTGATGCCAGGTGAGCCACCAGAATAGTCCCCAGAGATTTTACATCTGTCAAAACCTGTAGTGAGCAGGCTTCCTCCAGAGAAACAGAAGGCGATGGAGAAACATATTAGACTCCTGAAGGAATTGTGTATGCAGAGGTAGGCTGGCCAGGTTTGTGGGCCGTTCGTAGGACAGGCCGACCCGAAGGGCAGCTGATCTCTCCAGTGGGTGCTGAAGCTGCCTTCCACAGCAACAGCTTCTGCAGTGCCAGCGACAACTGTGAGTGCGTGTTCCAACACTACTGGCAATGTCTCAGACTCAATGGCCATTAGAGCACAGAAGTGTCATCCTGAATGTTCTTTTGTTCTGGGCTCTGTGAACAGCACTGCATTGGTCTGAGTCGCCATTGTGAAAAACAGGTGGATGTCAAAAGGTGAGGAAAAGCAGACCTATGTGAGGCTAGGATCTGGAACACATGAAAAGTTCTAAAATTCAGTAATTTGAAACAAGCCATTCAAGATCAGAATATGAGCCTGAAGAGAAAACCCGGATGGAGAGATAAAATACGAAAAGAACTTTAACCCTCTGGGAGTCAGGGAATTCAAAATTAAAATGGCAAAAGTTTTGTTTTGTTTTGTTTTGTTTTACATTTGTTGTACTGGAAAAAAAATTCCAATTGTGACTATACCAAATATTAGAGAAAGAGTAGAAAAATTAGACCTCACATGAGTTTGAGTGGACCATAAGGAACAAAGATGTTACAGAATAATCTAGAAAAACTGAAGGTGGGTATATCCTAAGATCTAACAATTTCACTTCTTGGGAAAACAGGGTCCGTGTGCATAAGACACACACAATGGATATTCGCTGAAGCAATTTTTTAACTTGTTTTGAGACAATTACAGATTCACATGCAATTCCCTTCACCGGTTTCCCCAACAATAACATCTTAGAAACCATAGTACGATGCCACAGCCAGAAAATTAACACTGATACAACCCGTTAACTTTGTTGACATTTCAGATTCCACCAGTTGACATGTACTCACTTTATAGTGTGTGTGTGCGCGCGTGCGCATGCCTGTGCACTTAGTTGTGTGTAATTTTAACACCCATGTATAACTGTGTGAGCACCAACACATCAGGGGACAGGACAGTTTCATCACAGGATCCTTGATGCTCCCCTTACAGCCAAGCCCACTTCCTCCTTCCCCTCCCTGAGCCTCGCAACCACAGGACGCTTCCCCTTTTCTATAATTGTGTCATTTTAACAATGCCCTGTAAATGGAATCCTACACTATGCAGCCTTTTGAGACAGACTTTTTCCACTAAAGGCAATCCCCCTGAGATGCATCCAGGTTGGTGAGCGTGTCCATAGGTGTTTCTTTTTAATTGCTCAGTGGTGTTCCCTCGTCTGGATGCACCACCGTGTGTTCAACCGTTCACCCAGGAAGGGCACTTGGATTATTTCCAGTTTTTGGTTATTGCAAATAGGGCTGCTGTGAACATTCATGTACAGGTTTTTGTGTGAACACAGTTTTCATTTCTCTGGGATACGTGCCCAGGACTGCAATTGCTGAGTCATATGGTTAGCACATGTCTAATTTTATAAGAAACTGCTAACTCTTTTCCAGAATGGCTGCACCGTTTTGCGTTTTCACCAGTGGTGTGTGAGTGATCCAGGACCTTCCCAGCCTGCGCGGCATGTCGTATTGCCACTATTTTTGTTTTTATTATTTTAGCTGTTCTAATACGTGTGTAGTGATATTTCCTGATGGTTTAATTTGCATTGCCCTGATGGGTAATGTCATCAAGACTTTTTTATGTACTTACGGCCATCTGTGTATCCTCCTCAGTGAAAAGTCTGTTCATGTCTTTTGCCCATTTTTTAATTGGATTGTTTGGTTTTAACAATTGAGTTTTCGTCGTTCTT